AAACAAAAATCCACCAGGATCTCCCCCGAACCAGCTAGCGCGCTGACAGTCTTATTTAGTTTGTGGATCCCCCCCTCCCTTTTTTCCCCGAAGTGCTACCTGGCTTTGAGCGTTAACAACTGTTTCCTCCCCTGTTTGCCCACCAAATTTGCCCAACACTGCGGCAGGGAATGGAACGACGAACAACAAAGGAATAAGATACGGTATGACGGCCGCACAAAACATGATGGACTGCTCCGCAATCAACTTATCGTGCAGAACCTACGTCACTTTTATCGTACCAAGGCCTGCGGTTGTCAACCTTTCAGCCATTTCTCTGAAATTTCGTGAAATTCGTGACTTACAAAGTTCAACAGCCCCCTGCGATTATGTTTCTTCATGCACAATTGTGCAGCAATGCATGGAAAGGAAAAAAAACTAAACTATAAACAATGATTTACAAGCAATTTGTTCTTCATACAATTGGAAGTGAACAAGAATAGTTGTATAAATCATACTGTTCATGTTCCTATAAAAAAACTAATAAAAACATATTTAACATCCTACACCTAAATATACTACAACATGCTGACAAATTTAATACAGGGCAAATATCCCCAACTGCGAATACTATAATAAAGTGGAGATTTTGATTTGAGTCATATATCTTTCTGAAGAAAGCATTACAAGTGAAACACTTGTTAAAATCCTTAACTTTTCAGACTATCAGGTGACCAAAGGAACATGGGGGAGAACCGTTAACAGGTGGTTGTTGTTTTGGGGACAATTCTGTAACACCTGTGAAGGGAGGATGTGACAGAACTAAATATAGGTTTTGCAACTTTATGAAAACATTATGTCAAACTGATTTTATTGTTTATGACAAAAAATCATAAGGTTCTGAATCAACTCCAAAATGCTCATATTTTGGTCCCAACAGTTGAAGAAAGCCCTTGACTTCTTAGTTACATCTTTTATCATTTTTCAATGTATCAATGTTGACTGCATGGATCGTATTGTAACATTTGGGGCTATCATGAGAAACCTTAGCCTGTTTTTTTTGTCGGTGTTGCTTCATCTTTTCTTTTAAAAATTCAATCCGACCAACAAATTAAATTGGTGTGGCCTGACGAAAATAATTGTTAAAAGAAGAATTCTTATCAAGTACAGGGTGTGTTTGTGGAATGTGTGTGTTTGCAAAGAGTAAGCCTGTAGGTATTTGTCATATAGACAAGGACTGATAATAACTCTAGGGCAAAACTTCAATTGGACAGCTTTCATCAGTGAAATGTGTTTACAAAAATAATTTGGAGTGCTTGTTCTCAAACAAATATGGAACAAAGGGCAAATAACTTCAATATTTCACAGGACTACTGTATCTGTTACCCGATATTGTTTTCAAGAAACAATTGTGATCAACACTAATTATTTCTGCATCAAAAACTTTTAAAGCTATTTATAGCCTGAAATGTTAAGATTTTGATACTGATATTAAGAAATATTTCCTTACATATACATTGTAGCTCCTCAAACATAATAGTTACATTTATTTTCAATCAAGTGCAAATTATACAATGAACATAATTTCTCAAAGCTAAGAAAAGGTTATCTTTATTGGTGCGAGTACGAAGACTCTTGCATGTTTCCATTTTGAAATATTGTGTTGACAATAATGTATGGCTGTAGACACAGACAATTACAAAGAGCCTTGACAACCCAACATTCTGCTATACCATAAATAGCAGCTACATATCAATATTCAATAGCTCATTTCTTGATCTGTTTTTCAGTAATACAGGTATATATATTGCGACAACAACAACTATGAGTCAAGGTGATACAAAACCTTTAAAATGGCAGTAGAATTCGAAAAGGAAACAAATCTTTGTAATTGTTTTTTTTTGTTTTATTTCTTTACAGCCAGTGGTTGTTTGTTTTGTTAATGAGTGTGTGTGAAGTGTTCACACCTTTATGGCTGGTGTGTTTGTCATCAGGATTAGCAGGTGTTGGGTAGGGTGCGGAGACATGCCTGTAGAGCACTCTACAACGATTACTGTGCCAATCTCAGCCACGTAAAGCTGTCTGGCAAACACCGTGAGGAGACTTCCTACCGCCTACATGCAGCAAATGGAGTACAGAGGGGAAGACTTTAAAAGGAGCTAAATGAATGTTACTTTCTACCATTGCGAACAAGAAAAAACAGTTTCAACAACAGAAGCCACGTCAAAAGGTAGCTGTCCCTATATACTGTCATGATTGGTATCATGGTTTAGCCATTCTTTGATTCAGAAGTTGAATGTTTTAGGATTGTTTCCTTCCTAGAGACATTGAATACATTGTAGGTAGCACAAGTCATGCCGTTGACAAGAGGTGTCCTAAATAACTAGCTTAACTGCAGACATCATCTCAGAGTCTATATGCATTATCATCCTCTAACCATGTGACTTTCAAAAGTGGTGCCCAAACTTTCTTCAGTATGCAAATTACATCTCAATTGATCTGACAAAAATACTTGTTGTTACACAGTACTTTTTCCTCTTGTTATTTTGTACTTAATCCCTGACCCCCTTATTTTTCAGATAAAAGGTTCTAATGACACTCAGGCATATACTTCATTCCCGTTCTTAAAGTAAGATGAAAGGTATACATGTACAGTAACTCTTGTATGACACTTGTCTTACACTCATACACAGGGCCAGACAGGCCAGTCTATGGTGACTGGGATCGCATAAAAATATCAAAATCCATACTTTTACTTTTAATCATATGGGGAAAAGCCACATACCTTAGAAATCCTACAATAACCAGGTTTTAAACAACAACTAGTACTCCAAATGGAACATATCTTTGGAGCAGTAATATATTACACTATACCAATATGATTGTACTCACTCAAGTATGATGCAGATTTTCGTTTCGAAGAAGTGGACTTTTGGTCGTGCTTTTCTTACAAAAGGTTTTGTTTGATAACTACAGTACGTAAATTGAATGGTCTTACACATATATAAACATATCATGTTTTTGACATATGTAATAAGTCTATTTTTCATGTGCATGCAGTCGGCAGTAGTATAGATAGACAACTTTTCATGTATGTGTGACAGGACACTAAACAATTGCTATTGAAAATCCTACCTGACCGGCCGAGCGTATGGAGCACTAATCCACTTTTAAATATTTACAATTTTCAACAGCGATGGATGAAGCAAAAAATACTTAACACAACCAATATTACCAAAATTAATTATTAATGATATTCTCTCTATATTTACCAAAGACTACGGTTCGAAATTTCATGCATCAAAGTTTTGTGTTAGGAGTTACTCATTACCTTGCAACTTTGCTAAACCAATACTGTTTTTGTTCTCTGTTGTTCGAGTTGACCGAACAAAAAACTCCTTTCAACGTATCCTTGTTGCTGTCTATGTAATGCAGGATTTGGGCAGGGACGCTATTGAATTTTCCTTCAATTTGTTTGAAATGTATCCAGCATCCTGTCAAAGTGCAGGTCTGTACACTATGTTGTAGGGATACCCTTACAAAAACAACAGAACCCAACACTCCACGTAAATCGTTAATGCTTACTATGGAAAAAGGGTGTAAAAAAGGGAGAAAAACTTGGCCTTACAAATGGAAATCAGGCCCAGGCACTCCCACAAAGGAGTCATGTTTTTCTTCCTATTAATAAAACATGTCCAGTGCTCCAGGATAAAAGGGTTGGGCATCAACAAACACGGAAGAATCGGGTGGCAGTCGGGCCGCCCGTCCAACCCTGCTCTTGTAGTGAGACAGAATTCATCAAGATTCAAGAGGCGGACACTTGAACACCACTAGACACAGGAACAAGACTGACGACTGAATCCTGACATTACGTCATGGTCCGCACGCACGCCTTTCCTTTCCAACACAGCTCAGCTTTCTAAAAGCCAGCAGATTTGGAATTTCGGGTGCATTTATGTTTTGTCATGAATTTTCCCTGCGCTTGGGTACCTTAAACATGTCAACACACTGTCTACAAGAGGTGGAATGCCAGTTAACAGATACCCACAATGCTGACTACTTATTTGTAAATTCCCGTAAAAAGTGGCCTTTGTTACGTACACACAATATACTGCACGTTTATGACCTCTTTCAAGACCGAAGATATTTTTGGTGCCGTTAAAACATGGGGGGTTTGGTCACAACTCACGACACCACACCGCAACTAACCCAGTATCCCAGGGTTACTGCCTTCGGGACGGAGCTATGCCGCAACGACTACAGATCCTCGCTGTAAACTAACAAAGAAAAGGGGACTTCCTGTCGTGATAACTTACGTTCCATTCTTACGGAAGAAAAGAGCAACATGCCTTTGCTATGAACAGTCCAGTGGGTTTCCCTGTTTTCCCTACACAAACCTAATTGCATATTCCATGTTTGTGAAGACTGGACAAGAGGGTATCGAGTTGTAGAAGCAAATGTACAAACACACATATTGCAAAAACTTGTTCATATAACTTATTATAAGAACCTAAACACTTTATGTTTCATGCACAGTATGGAAAACTTAAGTTTAAAGCCAATGCTGAGCATTACGATTCATATATTACATAAAATAAGAACAAATACTAATTCCTTTCATTAATTTTAGGCTGGAGTAGGTAGTACTAGTATTTGTACCTGTTTGAACAATTTAATTGGATCAGAGCATTGGTCATCCGAAAAGTGTGACTTTTTCAACAATGAGCATCTTTGCAAAAGGGATGATCCCTTGGTTTTAAGTGTATCACTATTGTAGCAGATTATCATCAAACACAAGAGAGCATCCTCCACCACAGTTAGGTAAACATTTCCTTGTTTTTCCAAGTACTTCTGCCGTTTGTGTTGGAAATTCAGAGTACCATGGGCCATTTTGGAATGCAAAGGAAGATCTTATCATGACAAACCACACAGCTATGATGTATAGATTGTGGTATAATTATGTTATATGCTTTTTAGATCTAAGACTAGAATAAGTAGAAGAAAAGAGTCACGATTCTCACCTTTCTTCCCCTTAAGGTGGACGTTATCCGTGGTGATACGGGTTGGTCCGGACGGATTGGGGAAGGGCCGTGAGTTGTGCTTCTGTAACGGCTTGTGATGCAGCGGTAGCGCAGGTAAGGAAAAGTTGCGCTCTTTCTCTGTCGGCGTTCCATTTGGAACCGACACAGGCACGGGGGTGGCATTGTTCGAAGGCGGACAGGGGGTTTCGGGCTGGATGCGCAGTGCAGGGATTTCCTTTCCTCCAAACCCATGTCCCTTAGGACTGGACTGGTCCTGGCTCGATCCCCGTCCAGAATTCATGTCGACAACACTGGATCACTCTGTGGCAGGAAAAACGATATGCGATCAATCGAAAGCGTACACCTTTCCTCCCTGTTCTAAAGATGGCAGACATGCTATCCATTTCCACTACACTGTACACAGATTACGTAGTACAACAATGTCCCAACCCACAAACTTAAAAACCCATAAAAATTCCCCAAAATACAAACTTCTGCAATCTGCAAAGGATGCAGGATGTTGCTAAAACTCAACAGATCTTGTTAAAAACTTTATGCTTTGCCCACCTTTCCATGCAAGCACAGTAGAGTGAATTGAAAAGAAGACATAATGTCTGGGTGACTGTTTTCAATCTATTTCTGAGCCAGATTCCCAGCCTTGCATGTAGTACAGTACTATAAGTCTACGGCCAGTCGGGTTAGTTGTGTAGTGGACGTTCCTTTCCTGTTCTTACTTGTCCAGGTGTAACGGAATGTGCGTTTAAGTTCAAGTTGTGACACCTGTCCGGCCACGGGCCCGTTACCTGCCCAACAGGACAGGTGTGTGCATGTGTGCGCGTACTCAAGACTACCACCACACACCTTAAGAAGGAAAGCGTTTAAGGTACGGTACACTTAAGGGGGAGGGGACGCACACTTAGCAACAGTGACATGCGAACCACCGCTGACACCCCGCGACTAATGGTTTAACTATCCCCGGGTAAACATCGAGAGTTCCACGGGCGCCAACACCACGCCGCACCGCCGACCTCCTTCCTGTTGCATCGTCTGCCAACTTTGCCGAGAACTACGCTACAACCCGGCGATGTCAGGCTTTGATAGCAGCCACAGAGGTGCAGCAGGAGTTGACACAACTGGTAGAAGCTCTGCGGCGTGCTTGGGAGGCGGCGGCGAAGCGATAGAGGGCACGAACTTGTCAAAGTTTTCTCGGACCTAGAAACACCGAGCCGAGCTCAACAGGTAGCAGAAGGGACAGGCTGTCATCCGCGGGGCACTCGCGGCGACAACCGCGGCGTTCCCGGCTTCGTTAGCTACGATCAGGGTTTTTCACCTACCGACAACTTGGTTCAGCTACTCCAAGCGACTCCGAGTAACATCGTTGGACACTGGCAGGGTTGTTACGGGCGGTGGGACGGAGGATCTAGCGGAAAATGCCGCCTGCTTCCGCCACTGTTGTGGGGAAATCTGGGACCAGAGTCCGCGCCGAGACTTGCGGGGGGTCATTAATGATGCGGGACTAGGGGAACCGAACGGACCAATCAGCGCCCGCGTAGTAGAAATCTACACCTGAGAGGAGAAAGAGGGGGGTGAGGGTCACTTGAAAATATCGGCATTTTCTCTCTCTTAAGAACGACTTAAACATCTTCTTCGTGCTAAAAGAGGCAAAAAAACTGCAGTCTATACAACTGACGTGTTTTATGAGGTCTGATTTGGTGAAAATTTATAATACAAGAAGATTCTCCAAGCATTCCCCCACAGGGCAAGTCGAAATGGCACATTTCCAAAAATTCCCTGGGGAGTTTTTAGTAAAAAATGGCCAATTTCCCACGATCACTGATACCCCAGTGAAAGTGAAAGTGGTTCCCAGAGGATGATACCTCATTACATAACCACCTTGGGAGATACAATTTGTTTCTTTAATGCACGTACTTTGTAAAGGGGTTTGGACGGAACAAGTCAACTGGAAATTTAGGTAAATCAAAATGATATTGGGCATGGGCCGAATATTTATCAAATGAGAGGGCAAATTCCAATTGTAACCTATCTTTCTAAAAAGATTTTGTTCGGTAGATAATTTTTGCAAAATGAAATGAGTTTTTGAGTGTGCTCAGTATGCAATCCACTTCATGAAATGGATAGAATCCTTTGATGCAGTGAGGGCATTATATATAATATCATTGCTTATGGTATTAAATCTAATAAATCTATTAAATCTTTCGGTTTATGTACGTAGTAAGGTTCACCACGTACGAAATCATTCCATAAAGCACATATCAAAGCGTGCGAAAAGGTACGCAAAGGAAGAAACGAAACCTTAAAGCATGCTTTAAGGTGTGCGGAAAGAATGGATTTTGTGCAGTGGTCATACTTTATATAACTACTTTCGCTTAGTTTGTATGCGATTCGTTTGTGTTTGTTTTTTGAAAGTAAGGAGATATATTCGGAATTACTAAGTACAATTCCCTTAAGCTTCTCGACATTTGGATGATCTTTTAACTTATCTATTGAGCCTGTGCGCATTTTCTTTCCCTTTGTTTTACGCAGGTAACGTTCAACAAGATTTCCGCTTACGGAGACGTGACGTCATCACTCGGAAATCCCACCTACCTGTGCGTTTTACCCTAAAGCATCTGTAAGCCGGGAGGAGATTGGTCTGGACAAATTTCCCATGCCCAAGCCGGCATCCGCCTGTCGGCTCGACTGCACGCGCCGGCCACCGTCATTGTACAAATATTGCTGTAGTTCTGCCATTTACAAACAATGGGGAGAAATGTTGATCAAATTGTTGCGCCTCAGCGGACCATATACTAAGTGCTAGGATCATAGGATCTCATAGTAGTCTCGTAGGCTCTACTTAGGCAATCCCAAATTTATACCCTTAAGTTTGACTCGACAAGAAAACAAATCTTTCTTAGATAATTGTGAATGGCAAATGGTATCGTATTTGGCTAAGCTTATAAGGAGGTTCAACATTCACTAGTACTCCTTGAGACTACCAAGTAGGGTTTCTTACTTGGCCTTGCTTACATATACTCTCCAGGCAGAGGTTCGGCTTGTTTTTGGCGTGTTTTACTTTTAGGCGTTTTTATCGGGCTCTCTTTTTTACGCCAGCCTCCGGTGACAAATGGTAACTATCTGGCAAATGGATACTAGTTAACTGCTTGGCTAATTTGATACTTGTAAGTGTCTTTGCAGCCACCAAAAGATAGCTGCGAAGAATATGTAGCTTGCATGACAATAACGGGGATTCTTGTCGGCAGGACTTTTGAATTGTTTCCACTCTATGTGTAAATCATCATAACAGACCGTCGGATTGGGCGTGACGCATCGGGAATTGTTAACCAAATAACAAACCGACATTTCTCTCGCGAAAAAAGGGCGGGAATGTCGTAAATTTCCCCGAAACGCAGACGTTTTTACGACTTGGAGGCGCGCCTCTCCTTTGGAATGGTTATCAGCGTCTTTAAGGAAAATCTGATACACTTCTTGAAAGGAACAGGCGGATTTGAATGTGAAATTACGGCCTGTACTTTTGTTATGGCGATAACAACACCCCTGACAGTTCTAGTGAAAGTGATTCCCACGCTTGGAATATCGTTTCTGGCATGGAGCTAATATGCCGAGTTTAGAACCTTTATTGCTGCTGACTGCAGAAGGGAAAAATTACAAGAATTACAATTAAGAAATACACTAAAATATCATCCATCGCTAGCCGTGAATTTTATTCTTTAAATTCAATTCTTTATTACCATATCAACATTGCAGACACACACATAACGTTGCCTGAGTGAATGACATTTATATTTACAATATCAAAATAAACACATAATACATGTATATACAAATATGATCTGTACATCAAGATCTTCTCCCCTTGACCTCTTGAAAAACGGCTTAGGCCGAAGAGTTGTACTGATACCAACATGTACTGTACATTTCAAGGTTAAATAAAGGTTGAAAAAAAAAAAGACATAACAAGTACCAAAAGATCTGCTTGGAGATTAGAAATCTACTCTCCAAGCAGAGGTTTGGGCAAGAAGGTTAGATAAACCTCCTTGGTTTAGGCTTCGGCTTATTTTTAGCGTGATTTAAAAATGTTTTTGGCGGGCTCTCTTTTTGTACTGGTATTTTTTTCGCCAGACTACTAAGAAATATCCTCCCACGAAGAGTAACGGTAGTTCGACAAATGCCATTGAGTGGGTGTTCTATTTTGACACGCGCGTGCGGTCGTGGCGCTCTTGCGCGTGCGTTCTTGTGTCGCAACTCTGGAACTTGCTTTTAAAACATGACGTTGTTTTTAAATCGGCGGTTGACTTTTCTTTAATGTGGTGGGCGGAACTGTCAACACTCGCCCGCTAAACAAAACTGGGTGGGAAACAACAAGTTCAGTGTCCTTCTGTTTGTTTTTGTATCAGTAGTTTGTTTTTTGTATGGTCTATTTCCCCTCTACACTTGCATAATCTTTCAGATACCTTGAGGTGTGTGATGAGTATAGGGAATTCGAAGCTTTTCTTTCTCATAGCTCTAGGTAGTATTCAAGGCAGTTGAAAACTTTCCAAAGTTGTCGACATTCTCAATCAAAGCTGGCGCTCAGTTTCTTGTAGCCCACAGGCGTGCAAAATAGGCTGGATGCCATCCACATTAGGCTAACGTCCGCTCCAATCGCCATCCTCCCCAGCCGGACTACAGTCACGGAAACCTAACAAGGATGACATCCAGGCTACCAACAACACCAAACACAAGATCTCAATGTTAAAGAATGTTCGTTCACGCGAACTCTTCATTTAAACGATGATATTTCAGGAACGTGTCTTTGAAATAGCTCATTACGACCAAGGAGCTTCAAATAGATTTGAATCTCCTTGTTTTTGACCTTAGAAATGGATTCTTTTAGCTTTTGTAACACTTAAGACGACATTTATAAACATAGATAGATTGGAAATCCAAAACACCATTAGGAATTCTTATAAGTGAGACCGATGGTGTTTTTCAACCTCTTGAGTCAGAATGCGAGACGACGCCAACAGATAAAGCTTACGGAAACGCATTCCGACTCCGAGATACCGCATTGTCATATCGTCACTGTCCTTGTTTAGTTTTCTATCGGTAAGGACAGTCATGTGCTGCACATGTTTCTGTGATAACATTTATCGTTATCCTAGAAATCCACATGTTACCACTATCTGGGAACTAGAAATATCACATCTATTTATTGCGGAATGTATTCTATATCTCTAGAGTCTATCGGATATTCTTTGGAGATATGAAATTCGTCCCGCAATTAGGTCCGATGTTTCTATAACAATAATGATAACAGAAGGATGTCTACAATAACGATATATGTTATCATTATATTGGATAGGGAATGACAAACAAGAGTTTTGGAATGTTATGTAAGGGAATTTCTACTCTTCAAGCATAAGGCTTTGATCCATACATCGTCTTGTGCGTAGGTCAATTCTGTTGTACCCATGTATCTGTCTGTATGTCTACTACGGTGGACCTTACGCTGTACTTTTGTTGTGTCAATAAAATCCTTCTATTTTGGAGCTCTTTGATTAGATGGATTAGACAACTTCTTTTGCTATTATTTCAGTCGGTTCCTAACGAACGATAAGACTCAAATTATCCCATTTGCTTGGAGAAACTGAAGCCATGGGCTTATCCCGACCGGCGCATCCATATGAAAAGATGTCGCCACTTTTCCACCCGATTTATCAAAACATTTCCCGTCAATCCTACTGACATGGAAATCTCAAGACTAACCGTTCGGATTTATATGCTAATATTTTGGGCCAATTTTAAGCTCAAAAGCCTTTTTCTCACCACTGCTCTCTCTTTCTCAATGGGCGGTCTAGGGGCGGTCTCCAACACAAGCATTTCTACAGTACAAATTATACATTACAGCTAGCATATTTACACAACAGTGTGTTTAGGAATGCCATTTGCAATAGAACGTGTTTACGACTTTTATTGTGGGCCCGTATTTTAGATCTGAATGGGGAGTTGTGGACAGTTATCATTGCGGATATTTAGAAGACAAATCGGGTACAAATAAGTGGGCTGGCTCGGTGATGTCTTTATGGTCTTGCCAGGTTTATTACGACGTTTTGGTGTGAATTTTCGCACGGTGCTCCATGGCGCATGGTGGGCGTACGAACGTTGAGTGATTGTCTCGGCCCCGCTATAGAATATGCATGTTTCTGTAGTACCATATCCCAAACCGTAGCCTCTACCAGGCTTCGGGAAGCGGCTGGAAAGCGTAGAAACTAGCCAAATAGAGAGGTAACATGCCTGGGGAGTTGGTCTGCTAAAGAGCGGCAAATTGTTCTCTTTTAGCGGACCAACTTCTACCCTTTCCAGCCTCTTCTGAGAGACATCCCAAAGGCACAGCACAGCGAAAGTGGGCTATAAGTCCCATGGGAATAACACACAGCGATACGAACATTTCTCTTATCTCCAAGCGCGGTAGCAAGGAGCTTAATATTAA